ATTTCCTTAACAATCCTAAGATTCCATGGAATAAACTTCCATTGAAGCTACAGGATGTCGAAACTGAAGAAGAACGACATGGTCCCGCAAAAAGGCCAAGAAGCGTCCATGTTTAAAGTTAACAATTACTACTTTACTGCTTCCTTTACTTTGTACTGAACTATATGGTTGAATAATGCAAGCACGGATGCATGCTTGATGCTCCTTTAGTTTCCTCCTTAATTCTCTCCTGGGCAGAGAAATAAACAAATAATTGGAACCGTTTGAGGCTCCAAGTGTAACTCTTGCGTTCTCAGTTTGTGCAATAAAAGATTTGAGACCGACTTGCTCCAATTCTAGTAAATTAGTATACTATTTTGTTCTTTTTAATTACTGAAAGTTGCTGCAGCCCTCCTAACCTTTGCAATGTATGAATTGATCTTGACCTACCATACTTTGCTAGTGTCATTCTCAACCTTTCCAAATTGGGATTGACACTAGTTCCATATTCCATAATCAATTGAAATGGAATTATATAAAAGGATTTTATTTCGGTTATACCACTTGACTTATCTCATCATACGGGTTGTGATGCTTAAATTCCGCAAGTTTACGGTGTAGTATTCAAATAATATAGTGTGAGAAAGTATAGTTTCCACGGAAACTAAGTACTTAATTTGATTCCACTTAATATTAACTCCAATTGAATAGCACAATTTATTGAAATTATTAAAATCATAACAATCATTCAAGATAAACACTTCAAAGTTTTGAAATCGAAATTAAACACCACAATATATCATTCATCGTCATCCTAGTTACTAGAAAAAGTGGACCGACTATGGATGCCAATGTGATGTGGACGTGAATATCATCGATTAAATATTTGACATTCATTTTAAAGCAGGTTAATAATATTTTTGGACGAAAATCATGATTAAGGACAAGATTTTCTAATTAATGAAATGTTAAAAATAAGAATATGGTGAAGAAAAGTCAAAGATAGAAGTGTGAATGAATGTAGGTTAATGACCTTTAATGTAATTAAAATTCGGTGTATTTAGAAAAAAATGTGTGAATATGACCACCGTATTTTGAAATCACAACATGAAACCAAATTCGAAAACAACAAAGCGAATTTTCCTTATTTTTCGTCCTTTCGAATCGTAGAGGAATGGAACCAAACTAGCAATTCCTCATCTTCCGCAAGTCATACATAAGTACTCGGAGTCTTCCACCAATTGGGATTTTCACACTAAAATGCCGTTTCAATGTTAGATCAATTTTAACACGTTCTCCTAAAAAACTATTCAAAACTCATTTTTTTGGTTTAATGGAAATCGAACAGGGATTTTTTTTTTTTTTTTTTTTTTGCCATTTCTCGATAGTACGTCGTTTTTAAAAGTCAACAAACCAACAAAAAATAGTTTGCATAAGGGTATTGTATACATATTACAATTTTTATTATCTTCCCCACATAATAATTGTAATTGGCGTCCTCAATTTTTGCTCATATAAATTTTTTTTATACCCTTTTAGTTGATATTTTGGACCAAAGGCGTCATTTAAGAGATAAAATGTGCTAATTAATAGACGGCTGATAATAAGAATTGGACGAAAAAGTTGGCGATATGAGTGCAAAAATGAACAAATATTGAAATTCTTTATTGCAATGTGTTGCAGTTAAATTTATTTTTGCTGTGATGATAATTAAGCTTTATATAGTTTCAACATTATTTTTGCACAATTAAAAATTGTGGTGTAAATATAATTAAGCTTTATTACAATTGCGTCTATTTTTCAAGCAATGAATATAAGTGTGACTATATTAATACCACAAGGGTCGTGGTGTACAACTCCTCACATGTGAGTGGGTCCTAACATGAATAAAAAATTTGTGGGTCCCCTCTATGTGAGAAGAGTGTACACAATGTTGTACAAGTACGATATACATGTAGCAGAGCTCTAAATAAATTAAAGATATATGTCCATATTTGAGTCACATTTTCATTCTATTCATTTTCAATCACACATTTTTCAATAAAATAATATTTTTCATCACATCAATAACTTTTCTTTTTTTCAACTATATATTTATCATCACATCAACAGTAAAAATGTAATCTAACTATAAAAATGTGCACCAAATCTTAGGCTAAAAACAAAAAAAAATAATTTTAAGACCTTCTTTACAATTAGTGTGTGTTTAGTAGGGGTTTTTTGGGGAAAGAATTGATTTTGAATAGTGATATGATGAGAAATGTGTGGTTGAAAAAAAAGATAAGATTATTGATGTGATAAAAAATATTATTTTATTGAAGAATGTGTGGTTGAAAATGAGAATTGATTTACTGTTGAAAGTGAGAATTGGTACCAAACATAGCCTTAATAATGGAAAGTAGGTAAACTTTCAAAAATAATAATTAAATAGTTCGTTCTTATCCATTTCTTCATGCCCATGTCACGTCACGTGACAAGCCCACAGTTCAATCCATTACACTATAAAATATCAAGCCAATCTGCTCGTCACTGTCCGTAGCAAATTTCAGTAGATAGAGAGAGAGTTGGAGAGGATGAAGAACACAGGCAAGGGTTCAAAAGCGTATGCCAAGGGCAGTGGACAAGATGTGAGAAAAGAGAGGAAATCCGGCTCTGGAATGAACGGATCGCCGAAGAAAGGTGGCCACGGCGGCAAGTTCACTTGGGCCGGCGTTGGCTATTCCTCGGCGGAACTTGGATCGTTCGAGAAGGAGGTTATTGATGCGAATGATCCAATCTTTGAAGAGCCTGAAGAAGCCGTAATCAATGAAGCTTGAATCTCGATCGACTTCCGTGACTGATTTTGCTTTATGAATTTTAGATTCTCATGTAAATATTCTTCCACTTTGATCACTGCTAATTGCTGAATTGCGGTATTTAATAAAATCGTGAAATTTGATGCTTCGTTGAAATTATGGATATCTTCAATTCGTTCTGTTTTTGTTTAGATTTACATGCTGGTGATTGGTGGATCATTTGTGATTAATTACGGGATCATTTTGCGTTAAATCCATCAAAATCTGTAATTTATAAACACGAAACAATTAAAAAAAAATAGAATTGAAATTTGAACGTAGCAATCAATTGTATGGAATTAGCTTTGGAACAATCGATCTAATTATTGAGTGATTCAGTGCCCTAAGATCTATGTATTGTAAACGGGAGATGGTATATGCAGAGAAGGGGAAAGAGATAAAGCTGTGGTGATTTTGGCTGAATTTAATAATAAATATTTTATGCATTTTAATGTTATTTTTTCGAACTAGTATATTTAGATAATTTTGTCATTATTACTAAAGGATTGTGCCGGAATTAAAATCAAAATTTTAGTAGATTTTGATAAAAATCTTATCCTAACCACCGATGAGTTGGCACATTAATTCATTGGTGGATAAAGATTTTGTGAGTTCCAATCCACCAATAAATTAATGTGCCAACTCATCGGTGCTTAGGATAAGATGAGCACCGGTGCTCATTAGATCATTTATATATATATGTTTTGGGATAAGCCATTTTGAGATCATTAGATCATTAGATCATTTCTATATTTTGAGATCACGCTCTTTGTATTACACATACTTATTTTTAACTTTTTTAAATTTTTCTAAAGTTCAATTATTATATTATTTTAATCTAATTAATTTTTTTTCCATTTTCATTTTATTTTACAAATATTCCTTTGCATTGTCAATAATTTTTTAAGTTGCAAAATTATCTCCACTTAAAATGAAAGAAATTAAATTTTAGCATACATAATAACAATTAATATAAAAAAAAATATTTATAATTGTTTTAAGTTTTATTTATTTTCACCACGCTTAAATTTCCCAATTTTGGATGGAGATGGTGCGCGCCTGTCTAAATTGGTCTTCCTCAAGTTATACAATTTCTTTCAAATCCACTAAAACTTCAAGGGTAAATACATCAATGATCATTGAACTTAAGTCTTCGTCATCACTTTATAAACAACTTTGGAACGTAATTTGTTGATCACTGAACAATGAAACTAATTACTCATCCACAACTGAGATGGAATCTGTGTTACCCATTTTGCAGAATTTCCACGTGTCTAATAGAATTAGCACGATATCAATTTGCCTATTGTCATGTCATCAAAATGCAACTTTCATAATTTTTTTTTTTTTAAAATGAATTTAAAGACATTTTGAACGAAGATAAGGATCATTTCCAAGAGAAGCTTGTCACATATAAAACAAATGGTCATGTACTACAATACAATAGTAGTGAAGAAGAGATTCTTTCAAATTAATGACCTCTTACTGAGAAGAATTTTTCCTACAACGTAGAAAGCTAGTTCAGAAACCCTTGATCCAAATTGGGAAGGGCATTTTGATGACGTGACAGTAGGTAACGAAAAATTGGCACCACACTGGAATTCTGTTAGACAAGTGCGAAATTTTTTCAATATAGTGAGAGAGAGTCCATGTCAATGATAAATAGGTAACAAGGCTNCATGTTAATCGATATGTAAAACATGGGCTGCATTTCTATCCTACTTTATTGTTGTAAGGCTATATATAGCCAGCTCAACTGTTGATTAATACCCCGTTCGGGAGGGCTTAAAATCCAATTAAAATTGAAAATATGGCCGTTATTGGGTCCCACCCGTCTAATAAAAGTCAACAATAACGGCTATATTTTCAATTTTAATCTGATTTTAATCCCTTCCAAACAAACTCTAAGTAGTAACAAGGATATAAGTTGAGAGACCATTGATGTATTTTACCCAAAACATTAACTGCGAAGAACCAATTAAAAAACAAAAAATAAAAAAAATTACGACTTCACTTCTCTATTCTTTGCACACACGTAGCCCAAAAGCTTCTCCTCATCAACTCCCATCGATCTCAATTCTCAATCCTTCCCCATACCCCAAATCAAAATGCAGAAATCAAATTCACGTCCCTTTAAACCATCTCCATTGAACAATCAGCAATCCAAAAGTTCATCATAAAGAAGAAATGGGCAATAAGATTGCACGAACGACACAGGCATCGGCGTCGGAGTACTATTTGCACGATTTGCCGTCGTCGTACAACCTGGTGTTGAAGGAGGTATTGGGAAGGGGCCGGTTTCTTAAATCGATTCAGTGCAAGCACGACGAAGGGCTGGTGCTGGTTAAAGTCTACTTCAAGAGGGGTGATTTCATTGATTTGCAAGAGTACGAGCGAAGACTTGCCCGAATTCGGGACATATTCTCGAACCTTGATCATCCTCACGTTTGGCCCTTCCAGGTTTTTCCCGCTTCCTCTTTTCAATTTTTCGTCTGCTAGCAATTTGTAATTGAATTCATATTTGATGAACACTTTTGCGTGCTAATATTGTGAATTGATTTGCATGCTGGTTGTGGAAGTATTGCATATTTATTTTTGTGATTAGTTTTGTGTTACGTACTATTGAGAAAGAGACAAAAGTTGTTCAAATAAATTGCATGTTTGCAACTTGTTAATCAGTAATTTGTTGTCAAAATATATTGGAAAAAGGGAGGGGAGGGGGGTGGCCGACGGGAAGGGGGACGAACGTCATTCAGAATTTTTAGCTGGTTGTTTAGTCACTTTTTGTAATTGTCAATAAGATTCTGACTGCTAAACTAAAGAATCTATGCATAGGATTTTGAAGAAAGAATATTAATCGTTTTTTTTTTTTTTTTTGCTCTGGAATATACACTTCACTAATTGTTAGGATGAATTTTGATCAAAGGTTCAGAAGCTCAAGAAAAGAGTAAAAGAGTCACCCAACCACCACCACCACCACCACCAACAACAACTATGTCTTATTCCCCATTAAATTGGAGTTAGCTACATGAATTCTTCTGTGTCATAGGGTTGCGATCATTGCTAAATCTAGGAGGGATAAAACAACCAGATTTTCATTAAAAGAAAGTCAAAGTTATGTACTATTTATTATTGTGGAAGAATTTAAAGTTACAAAGACCATTTTGTAGGGATCAATAAACAAAAATATTATGATAACTTAGCATGCTTTTCGTTTTTTCCTTCCAGCATTCAGGCGAAAGTTGTAAAAATGTAGAGAGCCAAATTTTAATACTTCATATTATGAAATTTCACTTTAAAAAGGGACTTGTATATCAAGGATGTTAAATTTCAAAATATGATGTCCTCAAATATTATGAACTTGCTTTGTGTTTTGATTTCCTGGAAAATGGATAGCTGATCACTACTAACTATTTCTCAGTGTTACATATTGCCGTGAATGCTATTATCATTGGTTCGTTTTGCAGTTTTGGCTTGAAACTGATAAAGCTGCTTATTTGTTGAGACAATACTTCTTTAATAATCTTCAAGATCGATTAAGCACTCGACCTTTTCTTAGTATAGTGGAAAAGAAATGGCTAGCTTTTCAGGTTCGTCTCTTCCTTTCTTAAACATTTTTGATGCAGTAGCAGTTGGTATTGACATCTCATGACATCGTGGTTTTGCAGTTGCTTTATGCAGTGAAACAGAGCCATGAGCATGGAGTTTGTCATGGTGAGATTTCCACACAATGTTTGGTCTCTTATAATCAGCTTTCATGAGCAAACCTTCAAAATTATTGCAGGTGATATTAAATGTGAGAACGTGTTGGTCACATCCTGGAACTGGCTTTATCTTGCTGATTTTGCATCATTTAAACCCACATACATTCCACATGATGATCCCTCAGATTTTTCGTTTTTCTTTGACACTGGTGGAAGAAGGCTCTGTTATCTTGCACCCGAGGTCTGTTTGCTCATGTTGTTTATTTAAATTCTGTATGGATAGATTATGGCTTCAAAAGGATGATGTTAATGTGATACTTTCCTTTAATGACTTTATGCTGGGAAATATGATGCTGTATGCAACAATGTCCTTAGCACTTAGTGGGCACGTATTAGTATTGGGATATGGGGAAAGGTTAGGACAAAGTATTGCCAGATTTTTACTGCAAATGGACAGCCCAATTCATGTTATGTTATCAAATGGTGATCTTACACCTACATCTCAGCTCTATCATAATCATCTTACATCCTCCCTGAATCCTAGGTGATCTTTCTTCATGGGATTTGCTTCGAGAGTTGCCGTCTGGAACTTTATCCTCTTTAGATTAATTGATTTTCCTTCTAGATTCAATAATTTTTTTTTTGTTTTTGGGTCCAAAAAGAAAAGTATTTTGTGGTTGATGAGAGAAGGAAACTATTTTCTTGTATTCTGAGAGGTATCTCAATAGCTTTGTTATTTTGAGAAGAGGCTTGAATTCCTAGCTCATGTTGTAACTTGTGAGGTGTCATTGCCAGTTAAAATATCTGTTGAACATGAGCGCTTGAGGGATTACAAGTTTGTTATATGTACAAGCACTTGTTGATATTGTATCAGTTACCATTATCATTTGATACACAGTGTCACCTCTTTTTTATATCCCTTTCCCTCATTCTATCGCTTGATATAGTATTAATTCATTTAGTTTTTATTTATATATTTAGTTTGGTCGTCTCTTTTTTAAACCATCCTTTAGTTGAAGTGCAGTCACTAGTGTTGTCAAGTATCTTGTCTTTTGAGTGCTATTCTCAAAGTCCTCCTTTAATGATGGAACTCATTACCAAAGAAATAAGTTTATATCTTTTGCACGAGTATCTATGAATTGTATATTTTGTACTTCATTATTTCTTCAAGACTTCTCAATATTCTAGTTATGAGTTTTAAAATGGGATATTAGAACATAGATTTGGAGCAAAAGCGTAATGGAACAAGTCATTGTCTGGAGGTGCTTGGAGTGCAAATAATAAATTCAAATATTCATATATAGCTATCGAACTTTTTGAAAATAATATATTCGAAATACCTCCTTGAAGGTGAGTAGACAAGTGGTATGGCCATAGTAGTAAAGAGGCTAAAGAATGTTGTTCTACATCTACTAAGAGGTTTCATCTCCTTCCCCTCTTTCTATATTTGAGAAATTTATTCCCACACTGAAATCAGTATCGTGTTGTTCTAAAAAGTGATTGTTTCAAGTGTTTAGGATTGATTATTAACAAGAAGGGAACTTTTATAGAACAATGATTAGACCGATTATGCTTTATAGTTTTGAGTGTTGGGGCTGTTAAGGCCAAACTTTCCATATGTGAACTTGGCAGAAATGAGAATGTTAAGATGGATGCACGGTCATACAAAAAAGAGTTGAGGCAACGTTGGATAAGTTAAGGGAATGATAGCTTAGGTGGTTAGGTCATACTCTAGTCAACTTAAAAGAGGCCCATCTTCATAGGAGCAATTTTGACGAAGCAAGTAAGATGAGGGAAAGGGAAACCGAAGTTAACAAGGCATATTTTACTTCGTAAGCATCAAGTGGCTTAAGATATCCCAATATATCTAGCACTAATTAGAACAGAATAATGAAGGACACATGAACCGACCCAAAATTTGTTCGGAATAAGGCTTGTTCTCTCCCTCCATTGTCCCAATTCCTAGTCATGGTAGGTTAAAAGTCGGATTGCAAATGGACAAGCTGTTTTTTGCAATTAACGTTAAGAATGCAGCTACCTTTTTACATTAATATGAGCAAATTTGCTTCATTTCACAAAACTTGATACGAATCTAGAATTCTACTTCTCTTTGATTTGTATGGTGTATTTTAGCTACCTCCTATGGAGTTCATAATTCAAATTTGTTGATGCTGTGAAGAGAACTTCCATTCAGTTTCCTAAATCAACCTACTTTCTCCTCGCACAAAAATATTTATACCTTCTTATGGATTAACAATTTCACTTCATCAAACTATTTTTGAAAATATTATATCAATTTTATTTCTTGTATGCTTTAAACTAAACCTTAATAGAAATTTGTTACGTGTGTGATGCAGGAGAAGCATTAGTGGATCCAAAATCAATTATGGACACTGTAACAAAGATAATTATTATAATCTTATGCAATGCTTTATTTCAAAAAGTTAGGAATATATTGGGTTATTGTTATGAGATTTACAATACTGTTAACACCAACAAGCTAAGCTTGATCCTCAAGGTGTTGCAATTATTCCAAAAACCAATGACTAACACCTCTTTTCTCTTCTTTTCCACTTATTAATAATACCAAGCACCAACCTAAGTTGCTTTTTACGCTATCATGGAATAACCTTTGATTACATGCACTATCACACATGGACCTATCCACCTTCCCTACCAGCAATCTATTTGACTAGATTTTTGCCCACTTCTCAAAGTTATCAAATCAGTCTCTTTTTCTTATGCACACATTCACTAGCATCAATTATTAAATTTTGAAAATATTTTTTAATGGAATATTAATTTGAATAAGACTGCACTTGTCGTCACCAATTCAGATAATCAGAGGTTTCAATTAAATTTTTTATGTTACTTCAATTTTTTCACATCCCTCCTCCATTAGATTCCTAATTTCGGCATTGCTAAACCTTCTTCCTCTTACCCTTTTGTTCTCCCAAGGCCTCATTTAACGATGCCTTTATTGGCCTAATTGAGGGTAATTTAGGCTAAGTAGCGTCTTGAAAGGTGCTTGCTTTATTCTAGAAAATCTTCCATACATTCATTTTCTCGAGGTTCATAATGCTTGTATCATTATCTGCACTTTTTTTTTTTCTCTTTTGTTTCATATACGTAATGCATTTAATGATGTTTTCTCCATGTCCTTAGTGTTTGTTTGGCTAAGATTTGAAGTGCTTATAAGTAATGGTTCCGAAGGAATGTAAAAGGTGAGTAAAAAAGCTGAGGTCACACATTCAAGGAATGTGTTTGAATAAAAATAAGTTTGACCAGCCTATAAGTAATTATAGCTTTGCAAAACATGGACTTGATCTTATGTCACAAGATTAATTAAGGATTGCTTCTCCCATTCATCAATATATTAAGCCCCTGTTTGGCCTCCATTATTTGAAATTGTAATGGTTGGAATAATGTGCTTTTGAAAAAAAGAAAAAAAAGTTTGGAATTACGTGCAATATTATTTTATTGGAGAATGTGTAGTTGATAAGAAAAGAGAGGAAATTAATTATAATTTTAATAGGCCCAAACAGGGGCTAAATTTCCACTAATCATTGGTTCGGTTCGATCGGTAATCGTAGAATGATTGGATACTATTCACATTTATACTACTAGTGATTTCACCCTTGTTTGAGCCCTATTTTTTCAAAACTCATTTTCAACCACACATTCTTCAATAAAATAATTTTACATGTAAATTGAATTTTTTTCTTATTTTTTAACTTCACAAGAATTGATGTCAAGGTAATTGCCAAAAGCTTCAATTGCTTACCATAAACAAATGCTAGTGCACGTGTGAAAAGCTATGAAATTGATGGAAGAGAAAAACGAGAGACAACAATCAGGTGTTCCTACACACCAAATGTGGAAAAAAATCATTTGTACTTTATCTTTACACGAGAATGATTGAAATGTGAGGTATCAATTTAACTTTTCTGAAGTGATAATCATTTTGAGTTGGCATGCAAGAGTGGACTGCAATAGTTTTACTGATGGGCTAAAATTCTAACCATAGTATGAATTAGCATAATGCAATAAAATTAGTCAGTGCTACTGAGCTATTATTAGATAGATTTGAATGTATCCACGTGGATACTTTCATTATACTCGGCTATTGTTCATAATGCTTTTACATGGTGACATTGCAAGATAGTTACTGGTCAGTCTTCTTCAGGAATTTGGTTTTAGTAGGTGTAGTGGATTAGTTGTTGAACAGCCAATTGGGTTTGGTTTGGCAAGATGGGAACATTTGTATACTGGAAATGGTGGTTTTGTCTTATCCTCTCAGTGATTTCTACAAAAAAAGAAATGGTAGAATTTTTTGAAGGAAAATAACTAATAGTAGTTGGCTTGTGGGATATGGAATTTCTGTAGCATCTTTATCGGTGTCTACAGATAAGTAGGTCATGGGTTTGTCTATTTCCTTGACTATTCTAAGGTGAAAATGTCTTGTATTTTCTTGATTTTCTTAAGAGGATGCTTTGTTCTCTTGTCAGTTGCATTCTGTATTTCAATAACAGAAAAATTGTTGTTCTCATAAAGAAATATGGACACTTTTCTTTTTCAGTAAAAATTAAGTGAAAGTGCATAACTGGTTTGTTGTGGTTTGTATACAAGCTGGATTGTGTTTTTCCTTGGGTAAAATTTATTGGTGGTAACTATACCTTAACCCTGTTTCAATTAGGTAATTGTAATTCAATTTTGTTGAATTACTTAACTAAACTTTAATTTAATTTCATTGAGGTAACTCCGTCTAGTTCCTTCACTTAGACGGACGAAAATTGATGACACAACAGTCCATAAATGATACCCATTATTTATTTGAATGAAGTTGTACTTATTTCACATCAGTAACTTATGATTATTTGTGATAGTCATTTATTGAACCGTCACATCATGTATTATTGTTAATGAAATTGAACAAAGTTATTGTAATTGAAATTTAAACTAAAGTGTAGTTACCTCATTGAAATCAAATTAAAATTTGATTACCTGACTAAAATCATTCTAAAGTGTAGTTACTCGATTGAACATAATTGAAATACAATTACTTGATTGATCTAAAAGTGAAATTATAGTTACCGCGAATGGGAATTACCGGTTTTCCTGATGCTAATTTTGGGAAAATTCTATTGTTGACATGAATATCAAAACAATAAGAGCTATATTTTCATCAATTTCAGAGGTTTTATGAGCATGGAACTGAGATGAAAGTGGCACAAGATGCTCCTTTAAAGCCCTCTATGGACATCTTTGCCGTAGGGTGAGTATTTTTAACTTTGAAGTCGTTTTTCTTAGAAGAAAATTCTGAATGTTTTGATTATTTATTGACAAATTGATTGAACTACGGTGAGCATTTGCATGCCATGCTCCCTTATTTGAAGGCAAACGTCAAAATGCAGCAAGAGGCATCGATGACATGGATGAGGTTGCTATTCTGCCAGTGTTATCAATATGCCATTTTCCCTGCCATTGGACCATCACTATCCTCCGCACTGTATTTCATTTCTCCAGGGGATATTTTGGGATATTCTTCTGCATAGTTTATATTTGGTGCAATGAGGGGGAGCTTCTATCTGCACCCCGAAAATCCACACCCACCTTCACTTAATACTCATTAACCAATTTAAAATTATGAAAATTCCTGTCTACATTCCCCAATATTTCGAAAATATCTCCAATTTTTCTCCTTACCCCCAACACACCATCCCCTTCAACTGCCACAGACCCTCCACTTACCTCCCATCCAGACTCCTCTCAACCTCCTCCAACCTGCTCTCTCCTCCCCCCTGCACCCACCACCTCAAATCCTCACCTTCACCTTTTGCAGTGGAGGCAAAAACTTTGTTACAGAGGCAGGGGCGGGGTGGCAGGATCGGGAGCATAGAAGGAAGGGTTAAATTGGTATTATTGAATTTTTATTTAGAGGTGAAAATTTTATGGAAGTTCTTGATAAAGTAATCTCTATAGACTGAAGTAGTTCCGGGAGGAAAAGCTGTCAAATATTTTGTCAAGTAATTACTTAGAACTAACTAAACGCTCACCTATCTTCGATGAATGCATACATAAGAGGTCCAATGAGTGTCTTTAGCTTTTTATGCAAAATTTTGTTCTTTTATATATATATATAATATATAAATGAAAGACTATTTTGAGATTTAGAGCATGCTTGATAGTGCTTTTTAAGTGATTATAAGCTCTGGGTCCTACGGAATGTTTGGATAATAAGTAGATAGTAATTTGTGGATTCTACAAAGTGTGTGGATAAAAAGTATATCTGACCAGCTTATTGCCAAACATGCACTTCAATATCTTTAGTCGGTGAATTACTTTGTTATGCTATTCCATGTATACATTATAGTTGTGGTACTTTGTCCTATTATGTTTTCAGATGCCTAAACTCTACGATTTTCTGTTTTCAGGTGTGTAATTGCTGAACTTTTTCTTGAAGGTCAACCATTGTTTGAACTCTCTCAACTCCTTGCATATCGAAGAGGGCAATGTGATCCTAGCCAACATCTGGAAAAGGTACCTTCTCATTCAGTGCGTATGTTGTCCTTTTATTTTAAGCTGTTTGGCCATGCCTTCCCGTTTCTTACCACCTTCATTTTGTCCAATAGTACGCTATTGATGTCTTATGGTACATTAACTCCATATTAGTATAATTTTTGAAGGATAGGTCTTTCCAGAACTTTCCTTTAAGCGCTCTTGCAAATTTCCAGATTCATCATTATAATTATTGATTGCTTTGTTATAATGCACAAGTGCAGATCCCAGATTCAGGAATTCGTGAGATGATTCTTCATATGATTCAATTGGATCCTGAGTCACGAAACTCTGCGAACAGCTACCTGCAGAACTATGCAGGTGTTTTGTTTCCAGGTTACTTTTCGCCATTTCTTCTCAGCTTCTATTCCTTGTTGAATCCTCTAAACTCTGATGCAAGGGTAAGGAACAGCTAGAGCCTAGAAGTTTGTCTGTGTTCTTGGATGTTAGTCATTTTCTTCATAACTAACCTAATGGAACTGCAGGTTCTATTATGCCAGACCTATTTCCAAGAAATACTGAGAAAAATGATGGGCAATCAGCCGAGCAAGGAGATTGGTTCAGGATCGGAATGTTCCTCAAACAGTCGAAGTCAATTGCTACAGATGGATGCAAAACAAAAGTTTAATCAAGCAGATGAATCTCTGAGCCAAGGCGAACAGACAGAGAAGGGTTCAATTCATGATCAATTTGATCTTCTTGGTGATGTCAGTATCCTGTTCAGAGATGTAAAACACAACGAGTGCGATTCCAATGTAAAGCCAATGCCAGATAATGTAGCTGCTGCTGTAGATTCCCAAAATCAGAAGCAATGTGGTACTCTGTCACCTGGTGAGCTAATTCAAACTATCTCTGACATATTTAAGCGAAGTCACCTTCCCTTCTTGAAAAAGATTACCACCACCGATTTGAGCTCTTTGATGTCGGATTATGACAATCAGTCGGACACTTTCGGAATGCCCTTTTTACCATTGCCTCAGGATGTTACTAGCTGTGAAGGAATGGTTCTGATTGCCTCACTGCTTTGTTCTTGCATTCGCAATGCCAAGTTGCCATTTATAAGGAGGGGTGCTGTACTACTACTGAAGTCTTGTTCTTTGTATATTGATGATGAAGATCGATTGCAGCGAATACTTCCTTACGTTATAGCTCTGCTCTCTGATCCATCTGCCATTGTCCGTTGTGCTGCCTTAGAGACTTTGTGTGACATTCTTCCTCTAGTCAGAGATTTTCCTCCCAGTGATGCCAAAATTTTTCCTGAGTATATCCTTCCAATGCTTTCCTTCCAATGCTTTCCATGATTCCTGACGATCCAGAGGAAAGTGTAAGAATATGTTATGCCAGCAACATATCTAAGCTTGCTCTGACTTCTTATGGGTTCTTAATGCACTCTGTAAGCTTGACTGAAGCAGGTGTTCTTAATGAAACAAATTTATACCAGAAGTTATCAACACCAGACGTCATGAGTTCTGAACAGCCAAAATGTCTAACTATTAATGCACAGCTTGCACAGTTGAGAAAATACATTGCGGAGGTTATTCAGGAACTCGTGATGGGTCCAAAGCAAACCCCAAATATCAGGAGAGCACTCTTGCATGATATTGACAACCTTTGTTGGTTCTTTGGACAGAGGCAGAGTAATGACTTTTTGCTACCCATTCTTCCTGCTTTCCTGAATGAGCGAGATGAGCAGCTTAGAGCAGTATTTTATGGGCAAATCATTTATGTCTGCTTTTTTGTTGGCCAACGAAGTGTGGAGGAATATCTTTTACCTTATATTGAGCAGGCACTAAATGATACAACTGAGGCTGTGATTGTCAATGCATTAGATTGCTTGGCCAGGCTGTGCAGATGTACTTTTCTGCGGAAGAGAATCCTGCTTGAGATAATTGAACGTGTTTCTCCATTGTTATGTTATCCTAGTGAATGGGTAAGAAAATCAGCTGTCACCTTTATTGCAGCTTGCAGTGAGAGCTTAGGTGCAGTGGATTCTTATGTTTTTCTGGTTCCATTTATACGCCCCTTTCTCCGTAGGCAACCAGCATCTCTAGCCTCAGAAAAATCTCTTTCTTCGTGTCTAAAGCCGCCAGTCTCTAGAGAGCTGTATTATCAAGTTGTAGAAAATTCCAGAAGTTCAGACATGCTGGAGAGACAGAGAAAGATTTGGTACAATAACTCATCAGAGTCTAAACATTTGGAAGCTGTAAACTTACTCCAGAAGACAGCTATGGAGTTAGATCAAATGAAGTGTTGGTCTGATGGACTAAATGATAATCAAAGGCACACATTTATTAGTAGCACAATGCATCAAATGTGTTTGACAGATTCTGAAGATAATGAGGGTAAGTCGAAAGCTATTGGAAGCTTAATAAAAGATTCCTCAAGTCTGTCAGACACCCATGAATTTTTTGCCTCAGAAAAGTTACATTTCTCCGGTTTTATGTCGCCACATATTAGTTGCACTAACAGCTTTATAGATAAATCACCAGAAGGCATACCTTTGTACTACTTTAAGGTTGAGAACAAGCAAAAATCAGACACTGTCCCGGTGGCATCTGATTCTTCCCTGCAATATAATTCTCTAGGTTTTAGTTCTTCCTCCTTGCCTTGGATGGATCCAATAAATAAATCATTTTGCTTATCCAATTCTGTTCCAGATCTTAAGCCTGTCTCTGGGTCAATACATGTTGGTAATGGCCCCACACAAATGCGGAGAGTTGTGCATGAAGTAGAAGACAGAGAGACTGATCAAACAGGCTGCAACAATAACAAATATCTTGAAATGGGGGTGTCGGGTGCAATGAAAGGCGGTTCTCTCAAAATGGAAGATAACTCCACTTCTACTGAATTGACAGAATTGTCATCTTTTGCATGGCCATCTACAATTCATGATTCTGGGTGGAAACCTCGTGGGGTGTTGGTCGCACACCTCCAGGAGCACCGCTTTGCTGTCAATGATATTTATATGTCACTGGACCAGAACTTTTTTGTCAGCGCGTCTGAAGATTCTACTGTTAAGATTTGGGATTGCAAGAAACTTGAGAAGGACATCTCATTTAGGTCAAAGCTAACTTATTCCTTAGGTGGAAGTCGAGCACTTTGTGTCACCGTGCTTCAAGGTTCTTCTCAAGTTGTTGTTGGAGCAAGTGATGGGATGATACACGTGTTCTCTGTTGATCACATCTCTAGAGGGCTAGGCAATGTTGTGGAGAAGTATTCAGGTATTGCTGATGTGGAAAAGAGTGGTGTTGGAGAAGGTGCTGTACTAAGCCTTGTAAATTGCAGTTCAGATAGTGGTACAAGGAAAATGATATTGTACAGCACCCAAAATGGTGGGATCAATCTATGGGATACAAGGACGAGTTCAAGTGCTTGGAACAAAAAAGTGTTACCCAAGGATGGTTATATATCATCTCTTGTAGCAGACCCTTGTGGGAACTGGTTTGTGTCTGGATCATCAAGGGGTGTGCTTATGCTTTGGGATCTGAGGTTCTGTATACTTGTAAACTTGTGGAAATATTCCCTTGAGTGCCCTATTGAGAGAATGTGCCTTTTTATTCCTCCTCCTGGTACACCCTTGTCTGCTGCGACAAGGCCACTCGTTTATGTTGCAGCTGGTTGTAATGAAGTATCTCTTTGGAATGCAGAAAACGGGAGTTGTCACCAGGTACATGGGTGTTCTTTTTCAAATCACTCTCACAAAATGGATTATGTAATGCCATTTAGCCGATAAGTGAAATCATAAATTCTATGACTGTAAATTAAATTATTCGGGTCCCACATAGCTACTAAAATAAGGTTCATCTTATTTACCTTGTATCAGAATACCCACGAGTACGTCAATTGGCAGGGAAAAATAAAGGAAGATGAAAAAAGAATCAATTCCTTCCAATTTGTTATGAACCATTCTTCTTCTCCTTTCTTTTATTGTTTTTCAGGGGAGGCAACATATTCAAAGTGTTACTATCTTACTGATGGTTTCTGAATGTCAAGGACCTAAAGGTGATGAAAATGCTTGTGTTGAACTTACAATGGTACCCGTGGATGTAACATTCAATATGCAAAGTTATCTAATAACTTCAGGCTGCCCCTTTTCTTAATGTTTGGACTGACAATTTGTGTGCATTTAATAGATTCATATTATATCGTATTACAAAACGTTAGTCAGTATATCTGCCAATGCTGAAATTATTTCCAAAAACCAATAACTAGTAGTTCCATTCATGGATCATTCGTCTCTTATTTACAGGTATTTAGGGCGGCAAACAATGACTGTGATGCTGAATATTCTGAGTCACCTTGGGCCTTGGCCAGAACATCTAGTAAGACAAATAATAAACTGGACGTAAAGAGAGATTTAAATTCAGAATACAAGATTGATGAGCTAAGTAGACCTTCCTCACGTCTTCCTGGTGTCCGTGCATTGCTTCCACTGCCCAGTGGAGATCTGTTAACGGGGGGTACTGACTTGAAGATACGTAGGTGGGACCATTGCAGGTACTTCACTTTGTTGTTTTGTTTTGTTCTCTTCATTCTTTATTTTTTTTCCTTAGTGATTCTGCCCGTCTTATTGATCTCGATCGTTATATTTATGCAGCCCCAACCAGACTTACTGTGTGTGTGGACCATCCATAGAAGGAGATGGAAATGATGATATTTATGAGACAAAATCTAGCTTTGGAGTGCAAGTTGTGCAGGTAATTTAAATAACCGAATCAGGATTTTCTGGTCCTTTCGCATACACTTCCTTAAAATCTTACAATATGGCAACTTCTTTTTTCAAGAGAATGTACTAGAGTGGATTTTCAATTGACCTTTCTGGTGGTGTAACACTTTTGAAAAGTAGTCTTATACCTACTATATGCTGGAGAAATGAGGTAGGAATGAGGTAGGAATTCTCGAATGAGTATCATACCTACTATATGTAATGGTACTTGTGGATTACAGAGTTTTTCCTTTTTTACTTCTGGGTTAAATATTTTGACTATTTTAGTTGTTTCAATGTGGATGGAGGGACATGGTTTCTTCCTTCACTTTCTGCGTCTTGTATCCTCTTCTATTACAAAGTGTGAGCTGGTTAAGTAGATTCAGCCATCCTGTTAGACATTTATGGGAGAAACGGACTGGTCTTCCACGTTTTTTGAAAAAAATATCTTCGTTAATGACCATTTATTTTCAAGGTTGAAATTGTTCATGTTAATTAAATGGAGCAATGTTTTCTATTACAAATTTGTCAGCTATATGTATGCTCTTAAATACTAGTCCTCGAGCTGCTGTGGTCTGTGTTAGTCTTTTAAAGAATTGCGACTGTCACTTGATGCACTAGGTGTCATAGCCCCAGCCAGTTGTCAATCTCCTACTATTATAAGGGCATCGTCTTATTTCTTCCTTGTTTTCAAAACTCAAGGAAGTTATGTAATGGATCTGGGTGGCCAGTTCTTCCATGAAATTTTTAGACGGTTGTTTTTCATTATAGAAGTTGTATGAACATCATACATTTTTTAAAATATCACATGCTATAGATCACTTTGATAAAAGTGGCAATTTTTCTTGTCCACATCTCCTTTATCAATTCTAATACAAGATTTTGTTTCCTTTTTCATTTACCTTTATATTGACACAAGTTTCTGGCTTCAACTTGCACGATTGTCTCTTTTTAATTCAAAATGGGGTGACAGAAAATAACAATTACTTCCTGTGTCCTATCTATTGAAGATAGCCGGGTTACATTTAAGTTCTTCATGCAAACAGGAAATGAGAAGACAACCTTTAGCGACCAGGTTGACTAGAAAAGCAATTCTTGCAGCTGCCGTCGCAGATTCTGCAGGATGTCACCGCGATTCTATACTATCTTTGGCTTCCGTGAAATTGAACCAAAGACTTCTAATATCAAGCGGTAGAGATGGAGTCATAAAGGTTTGGAAGTAAAGGATCTTAACATACTCGAGGTTCTTGTACATAGTAAGTTACAGGTTAGGGTGTAGATTATATTTTAGAAATACGTGGTAGATTTGTTAAAATAATTATATTTATGTTTCTGTCCCTTGCCACATTATCAAATTGCAGCTTGATTGAACATTTACTACAATTCTGTAGCAAGAATTTATTTTTTTCCGTTGAAAAGGAAAAGATCCAGTTTCTTGCGTTGATGAGGCTATCTATTCTCTCTGAACTTGTTTTGTAAGGCTCCATGCTGATATACATCTATATGTTCGTGTTTGCCTATAGATAGGTATTTCTCCATTGATTCCCATGCTTGGGACATCTCCAATCCTTACGTCAATTTGCCATTTTATGTCAATTGGTGTGAAAATCCTCTCCAACTCAACTTCATATCATTACACCAAATTGGTGTAATGCACAGTTTTTCACCAAATTTGGTTCAATTTTTTTGGAGTTCTTCTTATTTCCCTTTTTACCCATCATTTTTATACTATAAAAAAATTCAATTCGTGTTATATCATTTTTATATCCTTTTATTTAATGATTTAACTATATTTATATTTTATTTGATTATTATTTTTATTAACACTTATAATAGATTGTAATCAAATAATAAATTACTAACTATTGAATACATTAAAATAAAATTATTCATTAAAATTACTCAATAAATTTCTAACTATTGAGTGTAATGCTTTTTTAATTTATTAATAAATGCAATATTTTAGTTAATTAAATGTAATTTTTAATTTAATAATTTTAGTAGTAGTATAATTTGTAATATTTTTTGATAAATTAATTGTTGAGAATTAAAAAAATAAGGAAATAAAGGAAACAATGTTCATCTGGCGTAATGGGTGGGAGATGCCTAAATAAGATGGTGTGAAAGTTGCAACTTTTTAGTGCCACGAGTTGGAGATGCCTTTATAATCATGGTTTAGACTTCAGATTACTAGAATATAATACATATAAAGATGAATTTTTTCCTCCCATTGAATGTGATGAAGTTATGTGTATTTGATTATCTTTATCAACACTATAACTAAGGCTTAAGCCCTACATGTGACATCTCTACAGGTTATTAACATTTTGTTTCAGTTTAAATATGAGGGAACTGTTAATGATCTCAATCAGAATGTTATTAAATTTCTGGAGAACTTTAAACTTCATGAAACCATGTGAGAACTTGCATTTTTTGGGCGTTTATCAGGAAAAGTACAAGCCAAACAGAAGGTATAATGCTGTAGTTTTCATGTTAATTCACCCTTCAGACATAGTGAAGCTTGTGTAATGGCCCTAGAGACTCTCCAAATTTCATGTTGTACAGAATGCCATGAGTCTGCAATATCCATGCTCTTCGCCTTTTCAATTGCGTCATCTATCCCAGGGAAGGGCTTTGAACCATAATCATTGTGCTTTGCTGGTGCATAGATCTGAGAGAGAACATATAATTAGTTTATTGCAGACACAGGTACCTGTAGAATCCCAGCTATAAGAATCCACCTATTCCTACAGGTTATCACTTGACGATAATACTCGTGTAATTGTTTCGTGCTTATTCATCATTATTATTAGTTTTCAGTTTTATCATTTTTACCTTTTTTTATTTCTTTTCCCTAATAAATTAGTGTAGCGAGACCATAGGCTTAACCAGTAGACACTTCTCAAATAATTTTATTTGCATCTAGGGTGGTTTAATCTGTGCTTTGGAGTAAGACGTACCAAATGCTTATACCACGACCTTCCAGAAAGTCCTTCTCTGTCAGTAAATGCTCGTTCTGTCATCATGAGCCTGTCGTTCAACTCTCTCACTTTCTGACTGTCAACTTTCCATATTGAAGCCCAACCTTTGCCTCTTTCTAGCGCCTGGAATATTATATTTCTGTTAAGGCCACTTTCATAAAGTAATGTGGATTCCCTTGATGAGAAAGTATGGAAGTACCTTTCTCTCATCACCTATTTTAATGGCTGCTTCTTTGAGTTCATTAATAGACTTGAGCAAGGGAGCAAGTGTTAAGCCCTTGTTCACTAGTTCACCTTTCAAGTCTTCTGCACTTTTCTGTTTCATTGATTTGATTTATTATACTACTTGCATATAAAGGAGAGTTACCTTATTCCATTGAAGATGGGTCTACTGCTTATGTAGTTCCCTAGTGCGTATCATACCTGAAGCTCGTCAGCATAGGAGACATAGTTAAAAGGCAAAATTTCGCGATCTGCTAGCTGAAGTGCTACTGTACCCCAAATACTTGCCACTGTGAACATTATTGTGAACGATTAGTAAAATTTATCAGGTAGAGCAAAATTGCCCAGAAAAGCTGAACATTAGCTCATAAAATATGGAGTTCAAGTTGTTGAGTCCTTGATATTTCCTAAATAGTAACAGGGTAGTCATTTTTTTCTTAATGCTGTTGGGAGATGGAAAATTTACTAAATTTGAAGTGTTAGATTATTTGATGAAAATATGTTTTGCATCTATGCTTTGCAAAAGGAAGGACATGCACAACCAGTTGCATTTGTTTCAGTTTACATGCCACAACACCCTAACAGTTCAAAACGAAGCCCATGCATTTATGAACTCCTTTAACTATCTGAAACATAACTTCAAAGTGTGACCTAAAACATAAAAAAACATTTCATATCCTTAAGAACTAGAAATAGTAGCACTTCTTGAATTGTTTCTATCTTTACCTTTATTGAAATTTGTTAGTTGAATAAGAATTGTAACTTTAGGCATCTTTTACAAGATAAATAATTATGTGTTATGTGATTAAAACTCATTCTTGTGACCTCAATACGTTATAATCATGATCACCCTCTCCTACTTTATCCTCATTTCCAAACTAAACAGTTCTTGGTCAAATATAATTTAGCGTCTAGGACTTGAAAAAGACATATCTAGTACAACTCGTGCCATATTTAAAAGGGAAAATTGCAGTTAAGGTACCAAACATTTCATTTAGTAACAGATTTTTCCAAAACTTTTCATTTGTGCCACCTACGGTACCAAACATTTCAGAAATTCTCACATGGAGTCCAAATGGATGGATTTTTTTAATTTGACCGTTAGTCGACCAAAAGTCTATGGTCTAACCAAATTTTGACTAATGTTTAGAGGGTAAATTTACATTTTTAAAAAATAAATTACAATAATTAAATAAAAAAAAATCAAAAACAACCCACCCATCCAAATTATCTCCTTTTTTCCCATCTGCATACAACCATCACAACCAATGGGCATCAATGGCAACACTCGGAAACACCTAGCGCTGTCTATTCCGGCGCCGACGACACCATCACCCCAACAGAAGCAGCGCACATCCATGGAAGAAGAGGAGTTCGATGAAGACGTGTTCCTCGAGGAAACCCTTCTTCAGTACGAGGAGGACTCGTAGCACCACGCCCTCTTCGAGCGTCTAGATAGTGGAAATGTCATGCGCTCTCTTCATTATACATCAGTCAGTCTCAGAACATTAGTAGGTAATGAAATAAAACTCAGAACAATATACCATGGGCTCCAATCACTTCAATTCTGCTGCTGCCAATGTACCATGCGCTCCAATTCTTATACCTTGGGGGAGAGATATGGCTTCTTAGGGTTTTAAAATTGGGGCTTTTTGGAATTTGTATGATCACTTGAGCATAACGATCAACATACCCTATTCTAGTTTAGAGGCGACATTGGGGCTGGAGGTTGAGACGGTGGCGGCTGGCAGCTAAGTGAGGGTGGTTTTGGTTTTTGAGTGTAGGGGTTGGGGAAGAAGGAGATGAGGGTGGGTGGGTGTGGTTGTTTTTTTTTTTTTTTTTTTTTTTGAGTATTTTTTTTTTTTTGTGAAAATTGTAAATTTACAGTGTTACCCTTTTAAAAATTTGTTAATAGTCAAATTTTATTATTCTGGTCATCTAACGGTCAAACTAACAAAAACCATCCATTAGGACTCCAGGTAAGAATTTCTGAAAGGTTTGGTACTGCTACTGCAACTATCAGGTAAGAATTTCTGAAAGGTTTGGTACTGCTACTGCAACTATCCCTATTTAAAATTATTTATGAAGTAAACCTATATATAATATCCATATTTATGCGCCATTTGTACTAGAAAATGTTTATCGTATAATTGATAGCATAAATAGTTGTTCAAACATAATATTAATTAGGGGGTTATGAAATTTGATACTATAAAGGAGTTGTTCCAAAAAACATTAATTAATATGTGAACGAATAATAAACTTAGGTCAAGAAAAACAGTTAATTTGGAGAGTCTATCGCATGATTTCATTTCTTCATACGGGTCGTTTATTCTAGCCTATTCATTAGCGTGGAAACTCGACTATCACCTCGTCTTTTGGTGTTTCTGCGACTCTTCCTCCCTTTGCACTCCCTATTTTAGTATTTTGGCATGCAATTGGCAAAAAGGACTGGACATATTTTGTCCTTGCATCATTCTGAAATGCTTTGGTTCACATTTTGTTGCATACACCTTACAACCAGAAATTAATGTTAAAACTTTTTGCCATAAAAATCATTAAAGTAGATGTGCATTTTGAGGTACGGTAGGGACATAGGGACGATACTATTTCTTCTTTCTCCTAACCTACTCAGGTGGTGTTGTGCCAGATCTGTTTTCTTGTATGAACTATCCAGCATTTTACCATGTATAGATATTTGATTTTAAATACAAGAAGACTTGTTTATGATGACGATTGTGATCTAGTGATGGAAAAGATAACTCCAAGCAATTAGATAGATATTCTTCTTAAAGAAAAGTATAACAAACCTGCTACATGCCTATGGAATAGTGGATCACCAAATTTCTTCATCCAGACAAAGTCATCATACATTGAATGGTAGACTGGGTAACCTGCAAGTGATAACTGTTGTCAGATCTTTCAATGAGCAATGGCATGTGTTGGAATATCATCCATTGCTAAGAAATGTAAACTGAAAGCATTTTGCATTGATTCATACTATATTATTATAAAATTTCATGTTTATGAGCCTTGATTAATAGCAGTACTCTGATTTGAGTGTCTAAAATTTTGGTGTTTGAGGAATGGAAGAGAACAAAGTCAATGGGACTGTGAGGCATATAACTTTGAGGGCATATGTCTCTAGTCTTCAGTTTCTCTTTTTGGGTTTATTTTTTCCAGTTACTCCCATCAATCACAGATTGACTGTTATTATCAGCAGAAAGTTCTAGTTGTTACGGAAACTCTTTGAACTTCATTCATTATCAGGCTTTTTTAGTAAGGTCATAATTTCTAAGAGTCCTAGATCACGCTTTTATAATTTGATGATTTATTTTAGTATGTTAATGCAATATCATTTGTGAAAGCACTAGAAGCGTATTTGCGAAATAAAAAAAAATGTCACTGTAACGTGTATGCAAGCTTTACTTTTTTCTGATACACATGTTTTTTAAAATCAGAATAGATCAGGAATACAATTCCAAAACATTTTTTCATTTTATTGTACCTAGCTTTATGAGAGAATAAAAGTAAATGTTTTGCATTTTCTTGTACTTGTCAACTCCATTAGTTATACTCCATTTTTTTCTTAATTTTTGGTTTATTATAGCTAGTGTACATATTTGTATATGAAATATTCTCTTTATGCTACTTAAGTCAACATCTTACCGAGGGCTCAAAGTGAACGTATGATACTCAAGAAAGGAAACAAACTGGTTTTATAAATTTTGTACATTAAGCAATATATTGCAGTAAAGGAATTAAGTTCTCTTTTATCTCCTTACCTTCTTCAGTACACTCTGTAGTTTCTCAGTCATACAGCTTGCTTGATACAATAGCGGTAACTATAATTTCACTCTTACAGATAGTAATTGTTATTCTTAGACATCTGATTTTGAATGATATAAATTTCCTTCAAAATCACTTCACTTCAAACCTTGGGAGAAGATGAAGATAAAAAGCAAGCCCTTGAGTGCTAGATAGTCTTTAAATTATTTAATCTGTTTACGTTATTTGATATTGTTTATGCTTTGCTTTGATTACTGTCTTCTTCCTCTTTCTCTTCTTTTTGGTATCTTTGGGTGGTGGAAATTTGAGAGTAGAAACTGATATCTGTTTTGTGCTGTCACAGACACTGATCTAGCACATCTAAAAGTAACATTACAATAATATGAAGTGCTAGAGAAGGTGAGTATTTTACCTCCTCCAAAGGATATGTCAGCTGCTGGAATGCCTATATGTTGCACAAAGGCTGCATAGTCCGACCCTCCACCTCCTAGCCTCCCAATCTTAATGGAGAAAAAAGAGATTATTAAATTAAAGATATAAATTTAAATGGTCTGCTTGTCTCCCCTTCTTTTTATTTCCAAAAATAAATAAATATATAAACCTATCAAGTGAAAAAACATGAATTTCTCTTCAGGTATTCTACAACACTTACCTCAGGATTGTTTGCAGATCTAACCCATGAATCATAGACAGTTTGTGTTGAGTTATCCGGGTCTAGAACCTTCAAAAAACGAATATATTCTGGATGAATGAAAATTTGTAATGATCAGAATGACATGGATACTGTCATTCAGAATGTAGCATCAAAATTGCCACAAATTGTTGGAGTTCGTCTCATCTCATGATTTCAAAATATGTAGTTACTATGTTGACACCTACAATGGAACCTTAATAGATATCAATGTTAATCATAGTTGCTTTAGGTGTTTATGACTGAGTACATTTATTGTTGATTGTAGACCACTACCGACAAACATTCTTTCTACGTGATACCTGTTGAGTAGCTTGTATGAGTAGTTCATCGAGCTGTGGGGTTGCAGAGGCATCAAACCCAGGTCCTGCAACTGCGACATCTACATTCAGGTAAGCAACAACTCTTGAGGTCAGCATTTGTCTGTTCTCTTCCACCCATTCAGTCGATCCTATCTGAGGAACACAATTTAGTTAAAATCCTGCCAGCACAAATTTTTCGTTGTGTGTTGTTGGGGGTGGGTGGAAGGGGGTATCGACGTTAACACAGGATAGATTGAGAGAGACCAGCCCATACTCCTCAGCATCCCAATTGCAGAATACAATTGTACGTCTAGGTTTCCACCCTTTTTTCTGCAGCTTCCACAGCCTTTGTGCAATCTGTGTTTCACACCCAAATCAGGTAAACTAGCTATTTCTTTGAGAGACAAAAATACACATTTTGTCAATGCATCATGCAGGAAAATTGCCTGGAATTACAATCACCTCAAGCAGGGTTGCTGTGCCACTGTTGGGATCAACAGCTCCAAATGTCCATGCATCTCGATGATTACCCAAAATGACATATCTGGCAATGTTTCCTAATTCAGTTAGAAAATAACTATTTATACATAAACGATAATCTTCACTTTTCTTGTGGCTTAACCAATTTATCATTCTAATCTGTTCCCTTCAACAAATTTTGTACAGGTAATGACGATTTCATATAAAATTTCTAACATTTTCTTTCATATGATATAGCATCTATCATGGAAAACTGGAAGTATGTTTTCTTGCCCAATAAAACTTTCAAAACTTACCTATCAGGTTCTTCAGCTCCTTCAATAATGCCAATGACATTCTGGATTGTGCTTATGACTTGTTTTCCCTGTAAAGATAAAAACAATAGTCAGAGATTAGTGATGGGCATATAGTCTGTCTCTTCTATAGCTTTTTCACTTTTACAGGTGGATGGCTAATATATGCAACTATGGAGTTTGACAACTAGCTTAGAAATTCTCCTGGCACTTACCGTGTAACTCAAGTTCACAATTCCTGGTCCTGGTCCAACCCTGTAAACAGGGGCTTCTTTTCCTCCTTGCCAATCATCATTTGCCACTTGTCCACCAAGGGACCTAATAATTTCATAGCCATCAGCCCAAGAAATGGGCAATGAAGGTATTAGGGGAACATGACCTCCCTTCTCTATTACATCATCTGAAACTCTCTCACATTCTTCAGTGCTGGGCCACCCTGGTGTGGTAGGATCGCCTGCATCTTTATAAACTGAACCCACCTGAACGCCACTGGGAGGCATCCACTTCTTATTAGGAAACCATTCTGTATCTCCTCCACCTCCATAGTCCTTCTTATCTGTGAAAATTAGCACTCCTATGGCACCTGCTGCATAAGCGTTCTCAACTATATCCCCTCTGAATATCTTTCCATACCTTGCCAAAGCAAGGGTACCTGAAACATTCACTCCCATTTCTTTCAATGTCATGTAGTCTTCTACCCGTCCATAATTTACATACACCACAGGACCAGATACAGAGCCTGATTTAGCATATGCATGGAATGTTGGCAAGACTTCATTTGCTACATCTGTATATGGATCTCCATCATAAATCTCCTGGCGCAGATTAAATTCGATAGGTGGGTCCGGAGGAACCCGTATTAGTGTCAAAGAACGAGATACTGGGTAAGTCAAGGCAGTATAATAAGATGCTATATGTGATCGAATGTTGTAGGAAGTGAGAGTGGACAGAACATAGTCGGCTGCTTCGGCGTTGGCTTCTGTGCCGGCGACGTGGGGCCGTCGAGTAAGCATGTACAGGTGATTTGATATTGATGCATTGTCTGACAGGGAATCAGATATAAACAAGGAGTGGTAGAGAGATTTTTGAGTGGTTGAGAAAAAGATGAAAGAAATAGAAGTGACTAGAGCTATGATGCTTGAAATTGTTGCCTTAAACATTGAGGTTGGCTTTGGTAAAAAAAAAAATAAGAAGAAGAAGAAGAAGAAGTAATTCTTGATGGAGTATTTGTTGAGTGGTTTTTCACTAGTGTATATTCATATTGAGTTAAAGGGGTGGATGTTTGGAGAAACACAGTGTGTCAGTGTTCGTGAGAGGGACGGTGGAGGAGTTTCAGTTTTTTTATCCTTTGATATTGAAGAAACATAAAAATCTTGCCCTTTTGTAGAGCGGTGGCGTGGATTCCAAATTATTCTGTGTATTTTATTTATATGTCGTTTTCTGTGAAAAGCCTTTTGTTTTTATCTTAATAGCATATAAGATATTGCAACAGCAGATGCCAAATCAATCACCATTTAGTTTTATCATTGAATAATATTATTTATAGTGGAAATTATCGTCGTTCTACATAACATACACGTATTGCTTGTATCAAATAATAAAACGACATATATACATCACATAAAGTGCTTATCGATAGTTTTCACTATAAACAACATTACTCCTCACCGTGAGAAGATAAATTTTGTTTGTCTTCTAATGCATTTCATTTAATTATCCAATAATATTCTCGTTTTCAGGTTTCTAAGCATATTTATTAATTTTTAGGAGAAATTTATTTGGTCCAAAATAATTAATTCTATTGAATAGGTCCGACTCTTCAGCGGTTACGTCTTTTGAATTTTATGGCCATTGGCCATTGAATAGACATCAAATTATTTGCAGGTTGCATTTTGGTCTTATTGAATTTTACTACTACATTCCCCTTCAAATTCAATATGATCTAGTAATGTTATTCAGCCTCACCAGTTTATGCGACAATGGATTTACTTACATTGTCCAATTAAGTTATAATGTATTTTTATGCATTTAAATATGTGATAGTAATCACACTGCTTTATAGATTGATGCTAATCACAAATGGAGCTGAATACCTTTTTTTTTCTACCAAAAGTACTTAATATGTGAAGTTTAGTCTCTCATTAGACAGAAGTCTTGGGTTCGAATAATGAGAAAAACCTTTTAACCCTTGAGCTTATTTTTATATAACACTTAAATACATGGTGCAATATATAATTTATATAAAAGAAAAACCTTGTATACCCTTAAGCTTTTTTTTTTTTTTTTT